ATGAATTTGTTTCTGAGTTATGAGTATCACAAAAAAACTCAAAAAGGGTCGTTTTACCCCACTCTCCCTTACATTAACTTACATTAACTTGATACTATAGCGTTCAATCACGTTAACGATACAATAGCGTTCAATCACGTTAACGATATTTTTAAATTATAAATAATTTCATTCAGGCTATTATCAAGCTTAATTGATTTCTTTGAATGAAGGTGATAATTTGATTTAATTAGTTATTTGATGCGAATTTTTAGGATTTAAAAACTCAGTAAATATTCAAATGTTACAAAATGATATGGAATTCATTATTCGAGTTGACAGACTTATAAAATTTCATTGAATTCGGGCGCAACGAGCGAGGTATGTTAATTGAAACCCACTGATCCCTATTTTTCTTCTCTCTATGGGCGCGCGTAGTGGGGCACAGGGGTTCCCGGAATTCCACTCTCCTACTGTCCCTAAGGTATCTTATACGAACTAATCCTCTACTGTATAATCTCCAGTCGCAAAGTTTTCTATTTTCATGAATTGATCAAAAATTCGTACCTAGGAGATGATTACATTGGGGAATGAATAGCAGGTTTTTTCTCGAATGAAGCCGATGTTTAAATTGAGCTTTTCGTACACCACATTGAACGAAATTTGTGACATCCAAGTTTGTGTTGAATCGCCATAATTTGTCTTTCTGTTATTGCAAACTAATACGATTTTTTTAAGGCAAGAAATATAAACTTCTTTCAACTCAACGACATCTCACTACAATCTCAAAGCTTTTTCCGCGTAACAATATTCATCCTGATTCGACATACGTAATGTTCACTTCAATTATAATTCACTTGGCACAACGGATGATCGTGTTGATCCTGATAACAACGTATTTAGTCATGAGGTTAAATTTTATTTTTGAGTAAACCAACGAATTTCTGGAGTTAGGAAATTTTTGGCTAGAATGAAATCAAATACTCTCATTATTGCGACAAATAAAAGGAACTTTAATTCTAGAGAAGTTCGATTTCTCCCAATCAAATGTATCTCAAGAAGACATAACTGGTATTCACTGTGAAATCATGTTTATTTGAAAATTAGTAACCAAATGATAGTTGGCTCAAATAAAACTCTTTTGATAAAATTTTTTTTTTCTGTTTCGGTTCCTGTAGAAACCGAAAGATATACGGTGAAATGAAAGAAAAATGATCGATGGTGTTGGATTTTATCCTATTGGATCGATGGTATTGGAAAATTTTCTCAACCGTTGATGTCAACTCGAATAAGAAAACAAAAATATTCAATTTGCTTCGCAATTAAACTTGAACCAAACTTTTCACTTCAAAGATTATCCCCAAATCCGTTTGGCAAGAGTCCACCTTAAATTCTCAACGAATCATGTTTAAATCCCCTCAGAGAATGAGAAAGATGAAAAACTTTTGAATAGAAGCAGCATCTTAATTACGAAAAATACATGGTGGTGAAGTTGGAAAGCTCGTGCACCTGTGGTTGGATCCTCAAGGAAAAATGTGAATAATAAAATATGGGAATGCGGAGGAGTTGTCTCGTGAGGGTTGGGAGCCAACTCTCAGTTGTTCCACTCCTTGTATCCTTGATCGTATTACATCCCATTGTGAGCAAGGTGGAGGCATCGTTGTTATTATTATTGCGCTACAGGAACTTTCGAGACCCGTCTGTCTGCCCACTTTGCGGATGATGGATGGGTCATGGTGTTGTGGGCATAGTTGGAATAACTGAGGCGAGCTGGATTGCAGTTTTTGAGGGGAGATCGAGATAAGGGCCCTCTCCATTATTTTCATTTTTTGTTTCTAGTTTTTTTGGAAATTCAAAACATCAAAATTATCGTTTTTGGCTGCCTCTCGTCAACAAGATTGAATTGATTTGCTGTTTCCTTTTTTTTTTTAATGTGAAAGGAAAAATTGTCAGAAATTTGTTTTACGGATTTTTGTCTATAACGGAATAATTTTTGGGAAATTGATGCTCAACTGAAATAAAAGGATTTTGCTATTTCTATTAAATTATCTTTGGGAATTCAAAATTCAAAATTCTGAGTTGTTCAACTATTTCAAGGGTGGATTTGATTAATTTTTTGTTATATTTTGGGTTCGGTCCCTCTGGAAAACCATAAGAAATGAGTTGACGAGGGGATAGTGATTTTTTTGGAGATCCAATTAACATTTTCGGTTTCTAAGATTTTTAAGAAGGAAAAAATAGGGGTGGTCAGTTTCCAGCTCGTTTTGATATTTGACGATTTCTTTTAGGCGATTATTTCGCGAGATATCCAAGAAGGAAATTTTTCGAGTGCAGGATTTGGGAATGAGGGGAGGATATCATATTGTTCTTGGATCGAAAATTTGTCGAGCTTTTCAATAGCGTTCAATCACGTTAACGATATTATAGCGTTCAATCACGTTAACGATACAATAGCGTTCAATCACGTTAACGATATTTTTAAATTATAAATAATTTCATTCAGACTATTATCAACCTTAATTGATTTCTTTGAATGAAGGTGATAATTTGATATAATGGGTTGTTTAATGCGAATTTTTAGGATTTAAAAACTCAGTAAATATTCAAATGTCTTATAAAATCGTCATAAGTTAAATGATTTACATAATTATTTTAGTTCATTAATAATTCTTTGATAAAACTAATGAATATTTCCTTTTGAAACGGAACACCTGGCGGAAACAAAAAAAAAGTTTCTAAATTTTTTATTGATGAATTCTTGATTATTTTTGGAAGTCAGCCCGCGAAGCATTCGTGAATCATCGATCACGGACTGATTGATAAAAAATATCGTTCAATACAGGGCTGAGAAGAACTTTTTGATCTCATATAAGTACAGAACTCGCCTTCGGCTCGACCTGTAACCTCAAACACTGAGAAAAATTTCCTAGGAAACCTACCATGAATTGATCGAATATACATGCGATGTTCTCCACTCGAGAAATTTTTTTTTCATCACGCTGTGACGAAAAGTGAACTTTTCGGCACGCTCCGCGTGCCTAAAAGTCCAATTTCCGCCACATTGTGATGAAAAATATTGTTCGTAACTCGTGAAAAAATGTTTTTTGCACTCGTTACGAAATATACTATTATCATATTATGTCGATTTTTCTCTCACAAAGCCCTAATTCTTGAATGAAAAATCAGACTTATTCCTCCACCTCGATGACCGATAATCGATAACTGATACATTCCCCAGGAGACACGATTTATAATCCTGAATAATTCATCGTGGCAAAGATACCTCTGCCAATCACAAGAATTATCAGCAAAGAAATCGGCGCTCATTTCAATATCTGATAAAACATGCAAAACCGGAAGTTCACAGGTGGAATATTATACATATATCTGCAGAAGGGGGTTTGCCCTCTGGGTAAATACACTTGGACTCGCGTCTATGGACTGAGAGAAATGTAGGTCGCTAGTTTCTGAAAACTTTATGTGATACATACGAATCGTGAAGGTGAAAACTAGTACTTCTAGGTGCATCTGGGCCTCTTACATTTCCTCCGGTTCTTTTTGCAACGCTTCAAGCTACTTACCATTACGAATGTTTCTAGCAGGAGAAAAGGAACGAGGAGATACTACTCAAACTTGGAGGAATGTCTAACTTCATTGAACTTTTTTTTCAATTCAACCGAAATTAAATTTTTTAACTTGGCTATTTTTCTTTTTTATTCCTGCAGGTGAGGATCTTTTATTACAGAGAGAAATTTCTACTGAAATTTATTCCACAATTCTACTAATTATGGAGCGTCTTTGCCTTGCAGCAATTTTAAAGGAAACTAGTGAAAAATGCAATGAGTTGGTAAAAATTATAAAATATTTTAGGTGAAAATTCAAGCAACTATTTTTTTGAATTCTTAATTTATGGAAATTTCAAGTGAATGTAATGCCATTTTCACAATCAATTTGAATATTTCAACTGTTATTGTAACGAAAAATTTAATTTTGTTAAATTTCCAAAATGAACAAAAAAATCATCAAATCATCAAATTTGTCAATTAAATTGCGTGATAGAAATAAAAAAAAGAATCACGAGTATTCAGCGCCATTCAAATTATATTTTGCACAGCACAGTTATTATTTTCAACATTCCTTTTCTATAAATTAATAATTGAAACTGTTGAAACTTTCGGAAACCTTATTTTTTAGACATAAAATCGATTTCTGGTAAAATTCTGAATATAAATAAATTTATTACGATTCTGAACAAATGATTTTTAAGTGGAAAATTGATTGTTCACAAATTATTTATAAATATTGCTCTTAATTTTCCAAAATTGCAATTGTTCAATTATTTAAACAATATTCCTACAAAAGTAAACTTTCTATTTTTTCAGATTTTTAAAATATTCTCTAACGGTTCAATATCCAGATTCAAATCCAGATCTGCCAAGTTCAAGTCAAAAAATCATTGTAAAATATCCGGACACTTCGGGTCAAGTGAAGCTCAAATGAAAAATGAAAAAAATTGCCGAAGTACTTGGATATCCTTAAATTGAATTGAAAATCATAATACTGAATACTTAAATGCAGTAAATATTCAAAAAATTTCACTAGAATTCAAAAACAATAGAGCTAAGAAAACAATGCGTCGTACAATTACCAGAATCAAGTGCAGGATTATTTAAATTTCAATGAAAACATAATTTTTCTTTAATCCCCAAGAGAATTCAAGTTTTTTCAACTTTAATTGCTGAGTAATTATTCTAGGCTAACTTTGCGGCGTGTCATTGCATCGTTTACCCCCCAGCGAGGTTGGAATTTCTCTTTTTATCCGAGTGACAAAAGCCCCTGATACTGACACCTTTTTGCGTGCAGCTTATCCAATTATTCTCTGAAGTGTAACCACTTTTTTCCCTTTTTCTCGACTTGCCCCACTTCCCCACGCAATTTATGACACCATGAATATCCTAATCCGAGAGTATAAGGTCCTTAATCTACCGTGAGTGAGAGAGAAAGGAGAGATTAAGACTCACAATTTCCGTAGATTCATCATATTGGTGAAGAGGGTGTCTGGCAGGTATCGAATCTGATTGTTGTTGAGCTTGAGCTTCTCCACTGCCACCAGATCCTTGAATGCACCCCTCTCGATCGTGTGGATCTGATTGTTTGACAACTGAAGAAGATGAAGTGTCGCCATGTCCTCGAAATCTGTTTTGAAGATTACGGAGATGTTGTTGCCCTCGAGATTTCTGCAAATAAAAGGAGATTGGGGATTAGTGAGGTGATGAATATCAAATCATTTTGGTTATTTCTTGAGATTATTTCATATAACTCAGGAAATTGTGGGCTTACAGAGAAATGTCAGAAAACTTATTCTGTTGGAGATTAAGTGCTCTAAAAAAATAAAAAATAAAAAAAAAGTTCTCTAAAAAGAATGAATTTTCGTAAATTTTTTCTTCGCAATTTCTTTCAGAATAATCCGCAAACCTGTTTTGGACTGGAGAATGGAAAAAATTCATAATGAAATTGTCGTGTTGATGACCGGTGTTTTGATAAATAATCGAGGGATAAAATTTTTCTCTTCTGACATTCTCCTGAAGCATAAATTGTTGCTGAGATGAATAAATAATTAATAAAGATATCATGAGTGAAGATTCATTCTTTTATTGATGAAATATATATCAATCATTTTGGGAATGTCTCAGGAACCGGTAAATTTCTTCCTCTCGCAATTTTTTCCAGAATAATCCGCAAACCCGTTCGGGGCTTGAGAATGAAAAAAAAATTCATAATAAAATTGTGGCGTTGATGAATGGTATTATGATAAATAATCAGGACATAATATTTTTTTGTGGAGAATGTAATTAACTACAAATTTTTTTTTTTGACATTTTGCTGAAGAATCGATTCTTAGTGAGATGGATAACTAATTAATGAACATTTCGTGAGTGAAGATTTGTTCATTCATTGATGAAATATGCTATATCGATGATTTTGGGAATGTCTCAGGAACTAGTACGTGAGAAGGCAATGTGAAGAAGCCATTCCCGTGGCAAATTGAATTCTTTTTCATTGTTGATGAATTGCCGTAAATGTCGCTAGTATTAGCAAAATAATCCCTAAACCAGTTTTGGATGAGAAAATGAAGAGAACAAAAAGAATTCATTCGCCTACAGAAAAGTTCTTCTGACATTTCGCCGACAATTTTTCAAATCAATTGTTACAGAGATGAATGAATAATTAGTGAAGATTTCATGAGTGAAGATTAATTTTTTCATTGATAGAATATTCTGTCTCGATCATTTTGGGAATATCTCAGGAACTAATTGGTGTGTTAATTCGCCAGTGGCAAATTAAATTCTTCACGGAGAAGTTTCCCTGATAAATTGCCGTAAATGTCGCGAGGATTGCAGAATAATCCCTAAACCAGTTTTGGACGAGAAAATGAAGAGAAAAAAACAAAGAAAAATTATTAATAGAATTATCTCCTCAACAAGTGATTTTATGAGAAATTATCAAAAGGTATTCTTTGAGGGGAATTTCAAGACTAATGAAGTGCATTCGTGGCCTCGCCTTCGAAGCGAAATAGAGCAAAAAAAGTCCCCCAAATCGTATGAGTAATGCGTTTTCTACATTATTTCATTCTGCCCCGGTTTCTCCTGTTTAGTTCCTCATATTTTTTTTTTAGCTTGCTGATTTTTTAGAAAAAAATGCCTCTGGGAAACTCGCTTAAAAATCAAGCGAGGACTGAAAATTGAAGAAGACATACCGAGTGGCCTTCTCAAAAAAACATGTTTCAGTAGATATCCGAAAATTAAACCCCTTCATTCCGAAGATATTTGCCAAATAATCTCCCCACACTTCACAAACTCCTCTGATCCACAACAAATGAAAATATTCACACTCGTAAATTTATTCTTTAAAAACGTACAGAAAAAGAATAGAAATAGAAAAATAGAAATAGGAATAGAAAAATAGGAATTTTACTGTTAGAAATTCATTTGAAATTTCATGGAAGATATTACAGTAAATCTCATGAGAGTAACATTAAATCAGATTTAGGGAAAAAATTATTATGAAATCTCAAGTTTTAAGTAGAATTCACTTAAGAAAATAGAAAATTTCGCAACCTGATTGAATTTTCAATGGAACATGAATATTCAGGAACAAAATGACATGAATTTTCCATTTTTCCCTGAATTCTCCTGTTTCTGAATTTTCACAGAATAATTGAACTGAAAAATCAATTATTTTATTGATTTCCAGATCATTTGAGGAGAATATCAGTGGAATATTTGATTTGTCAATGACAAGATTTCCTGGAATTTCAGTGGAACTTGAATATGGTAAAGATTTCCGGAATTTCGCACAGAAAATGCAGACGAAAATTTTTAACAATGTAGAAAAAACCTTTCTTGCAACCCTGAAAAATCCTGACGAAAAATGTCCTCTGCTAAACTCCTCTAGACTTCCCTACCTCTCAATCCCCAGAATAATCTCCATATCCTCTCTGACTCCATCACTCCCCCACCCCTCCCCAGATTCAAACCTCCCCGAGAGGTATTTAACAATTTTTTACCCCTGGAAATAATGAACTTCCAAGGCAGCGGGACTTCGTTACCCGTTGGAGAGTGCGAATTCGTTAGAAAGAGAATGAAAGAAGAAAAAAGTGAGGAACCAGTGGCAAAGAGGGAAGAAAAATAAAAGTTTACTCTGAAGCAACAAAAAAAACCATAAAGAAGAGCAAAAGGAGAATGTGAAAAGGAAACAGAGAGAGAGAGAGAGAGAGAGAGAGAGAGAGAGAGAGAGAGAGAGAGAG